ATCAGCTCTTTTGAAAGGAGCTGTTGAAAAAGTTCAGTTCAGGAACGAGAGCTGTTTGATCAGATCAGCTCCTTTGAACGGAGCTGTTGAAAAAGTTCAGTTCAGGAACGAGAGCTGTTCGATCAGATCAGCTCTTTTGAAAGGAGCTGTTGAAAAAGTCCAGTTCAGGAACGGGAACTGTTCGAGCAGATCAGCTCTTTTGAACGGAGCTGTTGAAAAAGTTCAGTTCAGGAACGAGAACTGTTTGATCAGATCAGCTCCTTTGAACGGAGCTGTTGAAAAAGTTCAGTTCAGGAACGAGAACTGTTTGATCAGATAAGCTCTTTTGAAAGGAGCTGTTCAAACCAATCAGCTCCTACTGAAATGAACGGGCGAACAGCTTTTTCGCTCAGCTCAGCTGAACTTTTGAGCTTGAGCTGATGCACCCCTAATCAACATCAAGACAATGTTTATATTATGAACTAACTGTATCACATCCCAATGTAACTAATGAAGACAGTTTGGTGCCATTAACATTCATGATGTCAGAATCACAAACTCTTCATACCGTTACTAATTGGTTAACAGCATTTAAAGAAAGTTACAAAAAAGTATGTTGCACTTATTTTCTTAAACATGTAAAAAAATATGCTTTTCAGGAAAACGTTACTATTTACACCTATTAAAACTGTTTCAGATAGAATTTATTTTCAATAGATTCAATCTTAAAAGTACATGGAAATGGGAAAACTAAGAAATTTAGACTCAATATATGTTGTCTCTATTAGGTTTAGCTTACTCTTAGTGATAAATTTTTCTTTTAACAAGTTGATATCATGTAATCATTATGTCGGGTATCTAACGAAACGTGAGGATTAAACTAAGGATGTAGTGATTCGAATTCAAGTCAAATCTAAACGTACATATTTGATTAGGATTTATAGGATTTGACGGAATCTGCTTTCGATTTGGATTTCACAAGATACAGATATCGTACATCCTAGACAGAATATACTTACATTTGATATAGACAGTCAGCATACTATTAATTAAATTGAACTGCTATAATCACCTATACTGTAGGAGATTCTTATATCATATCCTTTGATTCTAATTTTTTTTTGAATTTCAGGTATTTTCTCATAAAAAAGATACATTTCCGAAACCGGCAGTGATTTTATCCGATCGAGCTCAAATTCTTCTTCAATCTGCTCTTCGTGTTTTCAATGATGAAAATTATCAAGAATTTCTTGCACGTGCCTATCGTATAGTCACTCATCAAGCTATTCAAAATGACTTATCAAAAACTATTATTCACGCTTGCTTGTCTCATTTTATGTTGGTAAGTCAAGAAAAAAGAATTGACTATATGTTTTTACATTTGTACTATTTAGGACATGAGAAAACGTGTTAATAAATACTTGCATGGTGATATTCGTGAATTAGCAATGTGGTGTATTGCTCTTTTAGTTAACACAAATACATGGGTTGATATGAAAGAAAATTGGAGATTAATTTGTGAAGTTTTCATTAATTATTCAACAAATGAAACAGTAATTTTTAAACAGCATTATTCAATACTTCTTTCTCGCATCAGTCAAATTACAAATGATCCAAATTCATCTGCAGCTATTAATCAATCGAAAGAAATAGTATCGGAATCGATTGATGTATTTGAATTTGATGATGATATTGAAAATGATAACTTGGACCATAATGTATTCGATTCTAAAAGAACTATGGAAAAGATGAAACAATTGAACAGATCATATTCTCATCGAACATCTGTTAATAAATCGGTAAGGAAAGAAATTTTATGTAATTAACTATAAGTCAAACTTGGTTTTATTTAGACGTCTAGAAAATTAAAGGAATAATCTGGGAGTTTGTTCCACTAATTAAGCCTATTGTAATTAGATGTTCTTAAACTTGTATTGCCCTATCAACAAATTTAGAAAAAGAAAATTTTCCTTTAGCACTTCTTAAATTATTTGTACTATCCAAGAAAGATGTTCTTTTGACTTCAGGACAGTCACGATTGAATTGCTGAAATAGATGAGCACATCTACTATGAAATTTGAAACACGTATTGACGCTAACGTATTTTTCATTGAGTTTATAAATATGCGTAAAAAAGATTAAATATGATTTGATAAAAGAGTTTCTATAACAATAATTAATAAAATATATTAAATTCAGCATATGGCATCATTTTAAATGTTCAATAAATTCTGTCCCTGTAAAGTTCTTCAAAAATTGTTCTTAAATGTCATGTTTTTGAACTGTTCTAAAAGAACTCTTGCAGTAATTGCAGAAAGACTTTTTAACTCTTTGGTGTGTATTATTTTATAAGTTTTCGATGACTTCGCTGCACACTTGAGAATTCTATATCGTATTGCATGAAAACCTACGTTGTTGTAAAGAACTCTCTTTTATAGTGTTGAGTAACGAATATTGATTCAATCTATTAACTGCACTGTCATAGGATAACATTTCGAAATGAAAATCAAGTTGAAAGAGTTTCTAATATTTTGCTTCAGATTTGCATATAATATAGTTTATTTCCGAATAATGAGTTTTTTGTGTTCTACTCTTTATAAATATATATAAATTTGACCAATTTTCTCATGCATTATCTCTCAAACAGCATGGTTGTTTTCAAGACTCTGCTAAAAGAAACCTGTAAAATATAATAGTACTTCATGTTTCTTGTATGTTCTCCTACAACTTTGTACAGGAAATAAAATATAAAATTATGTTTTTCAAGATAGCAAATATTGCCAAAGTTTTCATAAAATCATTTAAAGTCTAATAAAATCTACAAGCGTGCTATAGCCATTTGAAGTTTGTTGATCTGTTTTATGATTGCCTTGAATCTATATTGATGAGCACGGAAAAAATTCTTGATTTTTTTTATGAGTTCTAAACACATAGTTGGGTAATTTATCATTTTTTTTTGTAGCCTAACCTGTCTTGAAAGGTATCATCTATTTTTGAAATTTTTTGATAGATTATTGACGAGGAAAAACAGCTGAACGAAATCGATAGTAACTTCAAGATTGATCTTCAAAAAATTTATTACGAGTGCTATGAAAAAAACATCAAGTCAACTCTTTCTTCTTCAACATTAGATGAAGCAGCTAAATCTGTACGACAATGGTTGGCTTATTTCAATCAACATTGCATACCAACAGTGGCCATTTGGTCAAATCTGCTATTAGGTAAATCATGTCCTTTGTACCTATGAATTATTTTAATCTTTATAACATATTTTAGGTAATCTATCACGCCATGTAACATCATCCATTCGGGCATTTGACAACTTACTTTTAAACAAACATGATCAAAGAACAAATGCTATATCAGAAAGACGCATGTCAATCGTGAAGAGAACACAACTTGGTATAAAATTTATATTTCTAGTAAGAGTAGTAAACACTATAAAAATCGATTTATATTTGTACAGGTACACAAACTTATATGCGTTCGGACGTGGTTTTACAAATACTCGTTCAAGATATGCAAAAATTTATTGAAAATTTCTCTCTTTCATACTTAGCTTCAACATTCGACGATAATAATAATGAACGTTCTCAACAGAGATTGAAAGAATTGAAGGAAAATTGGGGAAAAAAGAACCGTCGTGGTTCTGGATTTTATGCAAAGAAACCAGACAAATCAATAATGAACAATCTACAATATGCACTTATTTCATCTTCAACAACAATTAATGATGGTCTTTCAATACCAGATTTACCTGTATCCAACCGGTTAAATGTAACTATTGGAATGTTAATATCGATTAAATCAATTCGTGAATCTGCAGCTTCACCATTAACAGTATCAACGCCTTTACCTAATGATATACTTTCCTTCATCAATAGATGGAAATCTTCATCAAATCGTGCCCAATCCCAAAAACAAACAAGTAAAGAACAAATACAACTATTGAATGCTCCATTTCATATACCAATTAATGTTCCACTTGATTGCAATGAACAAATAAATTTTATTCTACACAAAATTCTTCTCGAAATTATTGATTCTTCAATACCAGCAATAAAAATATTTACTTGTATGTCTTGTAAATTTACTATACATACCAGGTTTAACATGAATTATATTCCACTCAATATGGTTGAAGGAAAATACCATCTTCGTGAACAATTAAATAGTTACTTTGGTGGTTTCATATCCGATCATATATGTGATAAATGTTCAACGAGTATGTCTCGACATATAAAATTACTTGAGTGTAAGACGATCAAAAAGTTTTAATTTAAGAAAATAATATTAATTTTATGTGATTATTTATTTTAGGCCCATCTGTAATCATTCTTCACATTAGCTGTATTGACATTTCTTCGACAATTTTACGTAAACCACCGAATGCAATATTTTTTCAACCTTTTCTAGAAAAATTTAATATTGGTTGTACGTCATCAAGTATTTATGACGTTGTTGCATTTATATCTATAATGCCAAATACAGATAATAAATTAGTGCTAGCTACAAAAATTAAACAACGATGGCGCATTAGTTCCATGCCAAAGCGTATTGGTAATGGTGAAAAATTATGTAAATTATTTGCCAACAGTCGATTAATAATTCTGGAACGTCTTCGAACATGCAACAGCAACTTTATTTATGCGATAGCACAATGTTGTTCTGTTCGTATTAATGATAGTACAGAAAATAATATTAAAGCATGTGAGACATTGAATGCTGCTATTAAAATCATCGAAAGTCAAACATCATTTTACAATCTAAAGCTAATTTTGTCGTCGAATTATACCACATATTACCAATGCCAGAAATGCCGGTGTTCATCTAGTTCATTATCAACAACAAATAAGTGTATATCTATTTATGAACGTTATATAGATCACTCTGAAGTATATGCTATTCCACTAACGTGGCAAGATACATTAGATCTTTATTGTTCAGTTTGTAATGATAAAACCAATAATGTAATTTTACCAACACATAGCCAAGTTCATCATCAATATCCAACTATTTTAATGTTTTATTCATCACGTACAACACTTCGTGCTGTTCAAGATCTTTGTATTGAATTAGGTGATGATAATACACGAGACAAATATGCATATAGACCAATATCTGTTTTACTTATTGACGAATATAATTCAATATCGGTGATAAAACTTGAAAAACTCCAGGCTTATTGTAGTAATCCATATAAAAAAACAACTACATTATCTGATGATTCAATTAATGATCTTTTTCATACAGCTCAAAAGACAATAATTTTTCTCCAACAAGTAAGAACCTATAACATATTTAACCAATTTTCTCAAATATTTTCTTTACTGTAGTCTAGCTAAGTTTCTCAACTCTTGAATAGTCCTACGTAAATATTAGAACTTCTGAAGACATAGCTCTAGTTTCTCTTCACAATGAGCATAAATAAATAACGAAATCTCTATTGGATTAAAGTGCAAAACATGATATAGTTGTCGTTGCTAATCATGAAAGGTTGCTTCGGTACATATATTATAGGATAAATTATTCAAAGAACACAGATTTATCAAATCAATTATGATTAAAAATAGCAATCGCTTTTAGGTATGAATTGCCTTCGTTTTTTGACAATCGCTTTTAACTATTTTCGAATTTTTCATTGCTTTTTCATATTTTTCTATATTATGACTTTCCTAGATGTCTTTAACTTCTTTCTTAGCCCCCAAGGAGCTAATTGAACTGAAATGCAGCCAAATTCTCTTCAAAGATACTTTAGAAAATTTTTATTGCCCATCTATCATCTATTTAGTTTTGCAATGAATACTGGAATATTTTTAGAAGAAAAAATATTGCCAAGATGATTTAAGAAGCTACCATATAAGACTAATAAATAGACAACATAGACTGATTGAATAAGGGGGTCAATGTGGAACTCACTAATGATATAAGTCTTATGAGAGTACAATTATAATTAGTGCATATCAACAAGATCCTTTTATTAAAATAATAAGTTGGAGAAAAGTCTACATGAATAAAAAAAAACAAACAAGTGATGTAGAAATCTTTGATTTTTTATTTTACTAAAGACAGTGCAGGTTGGAACTATTGACTCATGGCGAGTAGAATTCGTATAACACTACGTTTCAAATCTCCATTCTCAATTTATTTTGCTAATCGTATTCATAGCATTTCTATGGAAAATCATACATTTCCATTCTTTAAGAAAGTATAAGTTTTCTATAAAGAGCATCGATTGATCGAGGTTAGTTTAAAATCTGTACTACTATAAGTTGAACACTCAAATTTTCTTTTTTGATTAGTAAAAAAAAGGCAGTGTGAGAATTGCTTCCTGTGAAAATTTACTTAAAAAAACAGTAGTGTTCTTAATTACTCCGAAATGATAACAGCTATTTGAAACAACACAATGAACAAAAGTATATTATGCTATTTCAAAATGTCTTGATTTCAATTCTAGTCAACAACGACTTCAACTCCTACTCCTTTTTTATTCAAATCACCTTTACCAGTTCATCTCGTTAATAAATCAACCGGTGTAAGTATAAATTATTTCTGACACATGTATTTATGTTTTAAGGTTTCTTGTATTTAGAAATCAATAACTGCATCGATTCGATCTTTAGCGATTTCACAAAAAATTCCGGTTAAACAGACAGTCAATGGCATCATTCATCAATCAATTTAATTACTTGCTCAAACTTTCAATATTGACCATCATTAATAATGTCCTTTCAAAGTACTTCTTTTACTAAACTATTTTTTGAACACTTTTCTTTAACCTGAACGTTAATTTTTTTTTTGAAATACTTCTTTTTATACTGATACACATTGATTTGCTTTTTTTTCTTGAAATATCTTTCTCTGCTTATATTACATGTCATGTAATTCATGCGCCATATGATGATAACAATCGCATTTGTATAATAAAATTAAGATATATTATTCTAGTAAATCCTTTTAGCTTCCTACAGCAATAATGTTCAACAATGATTTCATGCTACATTCAGTTTATAAAAGATCGTCTACAAGACCAATTTTGTGAAAACATATCATATTTATAAACAAGTAACGCTCGGCTGCAGACTCGCTCAGCTCTTTCTCGTAAAAGGACTGTGTTTAGATGTTCGTTTTTTAATACATTATTGCGTATATAAGTTTATTTCTAATCTAAATTAGATACTTTTACATGAACAACAGCAGGTATTTATACGAAATGTTGGATAGAGGATTAGATGTTTCAAATAAGTATCAATATAGATGGGAAGATTGATATGATTACATCAAACA